TGTGTTGATGGTCCCCTGTGTTGATGGTCCCTGTGTTGATGGTCCCTGTGTTGATGGTCCCCTGTGTTGATGGTCCCCTGTGTTGATGGTCCCCTGTGTTGATGGTCCCCTGTGTTGATGGTCTCCTGTTGGTCCCCTGATGGTCCCCTGATGGTCCCTGTGTTGATGGTCCCCTGATGGTCCCCTGACGGTCCCTGTGTTGATGGTCTCCGGTGTTGATGGTCTCCGGTGTTGATGGTCCCCTGATGGTCCCTGTGTTGATGGTCCCTATGTTGATGGTCCCCTGATGGTCCCTGTGTTGATGGTCCACTGTGTTGATGGTCCACTGTGTTGATGGTCCCTGTGTTGATGGTCCCCTGTGTTGATGGTCCCCTGTGTTGATGGTCCCCTGTGTTGATGGTCCCCTGTGTTGATGGTCCCCTGTGTTGATGGTCCCCTGTGTTGATGGTCTCCTGTTGGTCCCCTGATGGTCCCCTGATGGTCCCCTGACGGTCCCTGTGTTGATGGTCTCCGGTGTTGATGGTCTCCGGTGTTGATGGTCTCCGGTGTTGATGGTCTCCGGTGTTGATGGTCCCCTGATGGTCCCTGTGTTGATGGTCCCTATGTTGATGGTCCCCTGATGGTCCCTGTGTTGATGGTCCACTGTGTTGATGGTCCACTGTGTTGATGGTCCCTGTGTTGATGGTCCCCTGTGTTGATGGTCCCTGTGTTGATGGTCCCCTGTGTTGATGGTCCCCTGTGTTGATGGTCCCTGTGTTGATGGTCCCCTGTGTTGATGGTCCCTGTGTTGATGGTCCCCTGTGTTGATGGTCCCTGTGTTGATGGTCCCCTGTGTTGATGGTCCCCTGTGTTGATGGTCTCCGGTGTTGATGGTCCCCTGTGTTGATGGTCCCTGTGTTGATGGTCCCCTGTGTTGATGGTCCCTGTGTTGATGGTCCCTGTGTTGATGGTCCCCTGTGTGTTGATGGTCCCCTGTGTTGATGGTCCCCTGTGTTGATGGTCCCCTGTGTTGATGGTCCCTGTGTTGATGGTCCCTGTGTTGATGGTCTCCGGTGTTGATGGTCCCCTGTGTTGATGGTCCCTGTGTTGATGGTCCCCTGTGTTGATGGTCCCCTGTGTTGATGGTCCCCTGTGTTGATGGTCTCCGGTGTTGATGGTCCCCTGTGTTGATGGTCCCTGTGTTGATGGTCCCCTGTGTTGATGGTCCCCTGTGTTGATGGTCCCTGTGTTGATGGTCCCTGTGTTGATGGTCTCCGGTGTTGATGGTCTCCGGTGTTGATGGTCCCCTGATGGTCCCTGTGTTGATGGTCCCTGTGTTGATGGTCCCTATGTTGATGGTCCCCTGATGGTCCCTGTGTTGATGGTCCCTGTGTTGATGGTCTCTGTGTTGATGGTCCCCTGTGTTGATGGTCTCTTGTGTTGATGGTCCCCTGTGTTGATGGTCCCTGTGTTGATGGTCCCTGTGTTGATGGTCCCCTGTGTTGATGGTCCCTGTGTTGATGGTCCCTGTGTTGATGGCCCACTGTGTTGATGGTCTCTGTGTTGATGGTCCCTTGTGTTGATGGTCCCTGTGTTGATGGTCCCTGTGTTGATGGTCTCTGTGTTGATGGTCCCCTGTGTTGACGCCTCAAGTGCTGACAACGCCACTGTCAGCGGATCTGGTTTTTGGAACAGTGTTGACAGCTTCGTTGATGATGGCTTCAGCGTTGACGAACACAGTGTTCGTAGCGTCTTTTTTGTTATCAAATCAGTGATGACTGCAATAGTTTTCACGACTCTTGTGTTGGATGACGCAGTGGTCAGTGTGTGTGTGTGTGTGTGGTTGACCTCGTGGCTCACGCTCGTAGGTCTAGGGTCAGATTCACGAAGCAGGACTCAAGCACTTACAAACGTGTATATCTTTCCTCAATCTTTGACGGCTTTGGTTACATTTATTAAACAGTTTACAAGCATGAAAACTTGGCAATTAACTGTTGTTATTGTTATAAACAGCCTCCTGGTGCTTCGGAGCTCATTAACTGTGTCATAATTGTAAACAAAGCCGCCAAAGATTGAGAAAATGTGTACAGGTTCGTAAGTGTTTGCATAACTGCTTCGTGAATCTGGCCCCTGGTTAGTGTTGACGTCTTCAGAGTTGACATTGTAAGTGTTGGCTACGCAGGTGTTTAGTTCCACCTCTCCCTCCCTCACTGAAGACAAACTTCGTTAATTGACTTCGTGTTGATGTCACATGTATTGATTTACCCGATTCTTGACGGGATCAGTTTTAAAGAACCTGGTGTTGACGGAATTACTTGTTGACTATCCCAGTTTATATGCTATTTATGGTGACCTGTGTTGACGGCAATGGTTTTGACTGATCTTGTGTTGACCGTAATTTTGACGGCTACAATGTTGACGACTCCATGTGTGCCGCTGACAGGCACAGCGTCAGCCGACCTGGTGTTGACTACCTCAGTGGTCAGGACCATGATGTTAACTGCCTCAGTTCTGAGGTCTTCGTTCTGACAGTTCCTGCGACGGCCCTGAAACCAATCGTATTGGCGTTTGCCTTTTAATTTGGAGACTTTCGGCGCCGTGGAAAGTAGTGTGGGGGGGGGGGACCTGCTGCATGGGTGACAGCTTCTCCTCCATATCAATCTACCCTGGCTATGCGCCCTGGAGAGGCCACTCCAGTCCGACAACCAGAGCGCTTCTCCATTGTCTCCTGAGACTGATGGATGCTAACTATTACTACTACTGACGACTGAAGGACACAGTTATGTTATACTCAAATTCTGTCAGTTGAAATGTAACCAATCACAGGCGAGTAGGCCTCTGACGTCATGCCAGACAGAGGAGCATCAGCCATGCTCCCAGCAGCCTCAGTTATCCTCACAGACTCAGAGTAGAAGGACCTCGGCTAGGCAGATATATACCTTGCTATCTCGGTCAATAAATATATACAGAAGCGACTACTGTGTCTACCTTCTACCCGAACTAGGCAAACGAATACTCATACTTATCGTGACTCCACCAGCTTGTCTGTCTTCAAGTGTGTGGATGAGACCTCAGCTCCGTGTCTCGTGACTCCACCAGCTTGTCTGTCTTCAAGTGTGTGGATGAGACCTCAGCTCCGTGTCTCGTGACTCCACCAGCTTGTCTGTCTTCAAGTGTGTGGATGAGACCTCAGCTCCGTGTCTCGTGACTCCACCAGCTTGTCTGTCTTCAAGTGTGTGGATGAGACCTCAGCTCCGTGTCTCGTGACTCCACCAGCTTGTCTGTCTTCAAGTGTGTGGATGAGACCTCAGCTCCGTGTCTCGTGACTCCACCAGCTTGTCTGTCTTCAAGTGTGTGGATGAGACCTCAGCTCCGTGTCTCATGACTCCACCAGCTTGTCTGTCTTCAAGTGTGTGGATGAGACCTCAGCTCCGTGTCTCGTGACTCCACCAGCTTGTCTGTCTTCAAGTGTGTGGATGAGACCTCAGCTCCGTGTCTCGTGACTCCACCAGCTTGTCTGTCTTCAAGTGTGTGGATGAGACCTCAGCTCCGTGTCTCTTTCCCCTCATAGTTCAACCCACTTGCATGCCACTGCAAGTTTTCAAGATTTCATGACTTTCACCTTTCTTTAGATGAACTTTCCGGTAACACACTCTTTCTATAGATGAACTTTCCGGTAACACACTCTTTCTATAGATGAACTTTCCGGTAACACACTCTTTCTATAGATGAACTTTCCGGTAACACACTCTTTCTATAGATGAACTTTCCGGTAACACACTCTTTCTATAGATGAACTTTCCGGTAACACACTCTTTCTATAGATGAACTTTCCGGTAACACACTCTTTCTATAGATGAACTTTCCGGTAACACACTCTTTCTATAGATGAACTTTCCGGTAACACACTCTAAACCTCTCACTAACCGGCTGATGATTTTGATGTCCTTCGGTAGTGACATAGTGATGATTCAGATATTGGACCATTTGATGAATAAGATTCTCAAAAATCAGTATTCATCACTCATCAGGAAAACTAAATATAGCTCCTAGTGGATAAAGGTCGCATGATAAATGATTTTAGGGCTAATCGTTCCTGCAGTGGGAATGACCTGACCTGCACCTTGAGGTCAGGTCACTCGAAAGGTCACCTGGCTTCGTGAACGTGCACCTTAGGTTACCCATATAATTGAGATAACCTCATTTATATGGGTAAAAACTCAGGGAAGGATAGGGAGAAGGTACCTTAGTATCTATAATCGTACCCACCTAGATATCCAAGTATCTATAATCGTACCCACCTAGATATCCAAGTATCTATAATCGTACCCACCTAGATATCCAAGTATCTACGAACCTACAGACCTTAGTACCTACGAAAAAAGAACCTAAATTTCTAAGTACCTAAGTATCTACGTGAGTAAGTACCAAAGTATCTACGTAAGTAAGTACCAAAGTATCTCCATACGTAAATAAGTTCCTTAGTACCTAGGTATCTACGTAAATAAGTACTAAAGGGCCTACGTAAAGCATCTATGTAAATACGTACCAAAGTACCTATATAACAAGTACCAAAGTAGCTATATAACAAGTACCAAAGTAGCTAAATATTAAGGTACACTAGTACCCAGGTCTCTCGTCAAGTTGTACCTGGCAGGTGACCTTCCTGTGTTGACCTTGTAACACGCTCGTGTATTAGGAAGTGTGGGAGTAACTAAGCCACTAATAGCAACGTGGGAGGAATACGAAAATAGGAACGTGGGAGGAGGATCATTGGAACGTAGGAGGAATATGAGGATAAGAACGTGGGAGGAGTATAATCATAGATACGTGGGTTTTCTCCCATCTTGGGTATGTTGAACAACATACTCTACCCACCATGAGTGAGAGAACACGACCGGAACGCGAAGAGGGCGTAACGATAACGTTACTGGCCCAAAAAAGTCATGTCCACTCCATGTGACTAATCTCTGAATGTATGGGTTACTGACCCATTACTGACCTAATTGTATGCACCTGACCTTCGAGCGGTATATCTCCAATATGGTGAAGACTTGATATACTCCTCTGGGTATATCAGACGTAGCCGCATACTTTCTAATCAGCTATTGATAATGGCTCCAAATAGCCTCCTCCACTTACGGGCTCACCATAGCCTGTGCTACTTGGAACTTTGTGGTCCGAGTAGCTGAATCTAAAACAGCAACAACATCCTGTCTATTTTAGGATGCGAATTTTTAAAAACAGAATTCCTGTTTCCTGTTGAGTCTACGCGAGAATCGTGATCAAATACAGTTTTCTCACATGACCACCGTTTTCTGTGGTGTCACGCTGACCTCCGCCCCAGTGATTCACCCCGGGGGTCTATATGATAGCCAGCCCCTGGCTATCTTCTTCAGTGCCCTCCCCCAGCCCGAGGCCGGAGGGTTGACTGGTGGCACACACAGTGCTACACGTCCTCCCAAACACTCACACACACAAAACCCATGGTTTAATTAGAGATGTGGGCTAGCTAAGCAGCAAAGTAAAAGGGCATGGAGAAACTATAGGAATAACAGGACACTGGAGAGCAGAGAAAGATACCAGAATGCCAGGAATGAATATGTCAGGATGAGAAGAGAGGCAGAAAGACAATACGAAAATGACATCGCAAGCAAGGCAAAGACTCAGCCTAAATTGTTGCATAGCCACATCAGGAGAAAAACAACAGTAAAGGAACAGGTTATGAAACTAAGGATAGGGGCGGAAGGATTCACTACAAATGACAAGGAAGTGTGTGAGGAATTGAATAAGAAATTCCAGGAGGTCTTCACCTTAGAGCAAGGAGAAATTCCAGAAGTAAGTGTGGGAATAGCTAACCAGGAACCACTGGAAGAGTTTGAGATTACCAGCGGGGAAGTAAGGAAGTGTTTACTAGAGTTGGATGTGACAAAGGCTATAGGCCCAGATGGAATCTCCCCTTGGGTTCTAAAGGAAGGAGCAGGAGAACTGTGCCTACCACTCTCCATAGTGTATAACAAATCACTGGCAACAGGGGAACTGCCAGATATTTGGAAAGCAGCTAACGTAGTCCCGATATACAAGAAAGGGGATAGACAGGAGGCACTGAACTACAGGCCTTTGTCCCTAACCTGCATACCATGCAAGCTGATGGAGAAGATTGTGCGAAAAAAACTAGTGGAGCACCTGGAGCGAAGAAACTTTGTAACACAGCATCAACATGTTTTCAGGAATGGCAGGTCCTGCCTCACAGGGTTACTTGAATTCTACGACCAGGCAACAAAAATAAGGCAAAAAAGAGAAGGGTGGGCAGACTGCATATTTTTGGATTGCCAGAAAGCCTTTGATACAGTGCCACACAAGAGGCTAGTGCGAAAGTTGGAGACGCAGGCTGGAGTGAAAGGGAAGGTACTCCGGTGGATAGAGGAGTACCTAAGCAACAGGAGACAACGAGTCTGTGTGAGGGGTGAGGTCTCAGATTGGCGAGACATTACAAGTGGAGTCCCGCAGGGGTCAGTCCTTGGACCTATACTGTTTCTGGTATATGTAAATGATCTCCCAGAGGGTATAGATTCGTTCCTCTCTATGTTTGCCGACGATGCAAAAATTATGAGGAGGATTGAAAGAGAGGATGATAGTAGGAGGCTACAAGATGATCTAGATAGACTGAGTGAATGGTCCAACAAATGGCTGTTGAAGTTCAACCCGAGTAAATGCAAAGTAATGAAACTAGGCAGTGGAAACAGGAGGCCAGACACAGGATACAGAATAGGAGATGAAGTACTTAATGAAACAGACAGAGAGAAAGATCTAGGAGTTGATATCACACCAAACCTCCTGTCTCCTGAAGCCCACATAAAGAGAATAACATCTGTGGCATATGCGAGGCTGGCTAACATCAGAACGGCGTTCAGGAACCTGTGCAAGGAATCATTCAGAATCTTGTACACAACATATGTAAGACCAATCCTGGAGTATGCGGCCCCAGCATGGAGCCCGTACCTTGTCAAGCACAAGACGAAGCTGGAAAAAGTCCAAAGGTATGCTACTAGACTAGTCCCAGAACTAAGAGGCATGAGTTATGAGGAAAGGCTGCGGGAAATGCACCTTACGACACTGGAAGACAGAAGAGTAAGGGGGAACATGATCACAACCTACAAAATCCTCAGGGGAATCGACCGGGTAAACAAGGATGAACTATTCAACACTGGAGGGACGCGAACAAGGGGACACAGGTGGAAGCTGAGTACCCAAATGAGCCACAGAGACATTAGAAAGAACTTTTTCAGTGTCAGAGTAGTTAGTAAATGGAATGCACTAGGAAGTGATGTGGTGGAGGCTGACTCCATACACAGTTTCAAATGTAGATATGATAGAGCCCAGTAGGCTCAGGAATCTGTACACCAGTTGATTGACGGATTGAGAGACGGGACCAAAGAGCCAGAGCTCAACCCCCGCAAGCACAATTAGGTGAGTACACACACACTGAAGAAAACGTGGTCTGGCGGCAAGCACAGCTGTAACTAATAGTCTCGTAGAGCGGGAACTAATATTACCGCTCTAAGAGACAATTTTACTTATATTAGAAAAAATAAATATTTTTTCATTATTGGGAAATGAATAACACATCAACACACAATGAAATATATTTGTTTTGTCTTAAGATTTTCAATTCCTCAAGTTACGAAAATGTCAATCATTGAACACTCAATAGAGAGCCCTGAAAAAATATTTGCTCGTTAAGTATTACATGTTGTAGGTAATACATATAATTGTAATTAAATATGTAATTATATATATTATATCATTGTGTCAGGGGACAGGAAGCCAGAGTGTATTCATACACACCCACACACTCATTTTGACAATGTCTTGGTGTTTGACAGACAAGGGGGACCTGACGGCTAAGTGGACAGTGATCGGGATTCGTAGTCCTAGGGTGCTGGGATCGATTCCCGGCGATGGCGGAAAGAAATGGGAAGAGATTCTTTCATCCTGATGCTTCTGTTCACGTAGCAATAAATATGTACCTTTGAGTTAGACAGCTGCTACGGGCTGCTTCTTTTATGTGTGTGTGTGTGTGTGTGTTTGTGTGTGTGTGTGTGTGTGTGTGTGTGTGTGTGTGTGTGTGTGTGTGTGTGTGTGTGTGTGTGTGTGTGTGTGTGTGTGTGCGGAAAATAAATAAATAAATGAATAAGTTGATTGAGTGACAGTTGAGAGGCGGGGCCAAAGAGCCAGAGCTCAAACCCCACAAGCACAACTAGATGAGTACAACAAGTTGAGTAAAAATCTCAGAATACGCCAAGATTTTACACAAATTATAAACTCTACGGACTTTGGATTGCACATTCCATATCCACTGACTTCGTGAAGGGGGGTACATGGACCGAGCGGCCTCTCCTCCAAGTGAGGCATTGAGTCCGACTCACGACACTCCTCATAATACCACCTTTATCCCCTATCGAAGTTTAATGATGGGTCGCCTCAAGTGTCTGACCTTCAGCCCTCAATACACAAACATTTTCACATAAAGATATACTCGTATATGTATTACATATATGTATTACATATATGTATTACATATATGTATTACATATATGTAATACACAGTTATACATGACTAAACTACCAGTGGATATATTTTGAAGTATAAAGTATTACCAAACGTTAAATTAATAATAACTAAGTAAATAATAATACAGAATTACGTAATTTGCGTCCTGAAGCGACATCAAATAGAGTCACTATATTTGTAGATAATAATATATTGTAAAATTAGTATATAATTTATGTGGGGCAAGTCTAGTGATATTCCCCAGCGCCTGTTGCAAGTCATTGTTGATACAAATGTTCCAGACTCTGGTCCAAGAATCAAGTGATCTGTGTTGTTTACCTCGCCTCGTACCCTATCAGAAGGCAGGGACTGTAAGGTGCTGGGTTCTGATTGGTGGAGACCCGACGCATTTCGTATTTTTAGACATGTTTACGACGGTTACCCCCTCCTAGCTACCCCCCCTTCCCCCCCCCCACTTGCAGTTATTTTGGTCTAGGTGAGATGTGTGTCTCTGGTGATGCTGGGGGTGAGATGTGTGTCTCTGGTGATGCTGGGGTGGAGATGTGTGTCTCTGGTGATGCTGGGGGTGAGATGTGTGTCTCTGGTGATGCTGGGAGTGAGATGTGTGTCTCTGGTGATGCTGGGAGTGAGATGTGTGTCTCTGGTGATGCTGGGAGTGAGATGTGCGTCTCTGGTGATGCTGGGGGTGAGATGTGTGTCTCTGGTGATGCTGGGGGTGAGATGTGCGTCTCTGGTGATGCTGGGGGTGAGATGTGTGTCTCTGGTGATGCTGGGGGTGAGATGTGTGTCTCTGGTGATGCTGGGGTGAGATGTGTGTCTCTGGTGATGCTGGGGGTGAGATGTGTGTCTCTGGTGATGCTGGGGGTGAGATGTGCGTCTCTGGTGATGCTGGGGGTGAGATGTGTGTCTCTGGTGATGCTGGGGGTGAGATGTGTGTCTCTGGTGATGCTGGGGGTGAGATGTGTGTCTCTGGTGATGCTGGGAGTGAGATGTGTGTCTCTGGTGATGCTGGGAGTGAGATGTGCGTCTCTGGTGATGCTGGGAGTGAGATGTGTGTCTCTGGTGATGCTGGGGTGGAGATGTGTGTCTCTGGTGATGCTGGGGGTGAGATGTGTGTCTCTGGTGATGCTGGGAGCGAGATGTGTGTCTCTGGTGATGCTGGGGTGGAGATGTGTGTCTCTGGTGATGCTGGGGGTGAGATGTGTGTCTCTGGTGATGCTGGGGGTGAGATGTGTGTCTCTGGTGATGCTGGGAGTGAGATGTGTGTCTCTGGTGATGCTGGGAGTGAGATGTGTGTCTCTGGTGATGCTGGGAGTGAGATGTGTGTCTCTGGTGATGCTGGGAGTGAGATGTGCGTCTCTGGTGATGCTGGGGGTGAGATGTGTGTCTCTGGTGATGCTGGGGGTGAGATGTGCGTCTCTGGTGATGCTGGGGGTGAGATGTGTGTCTCTGGTGATGCTGGGGGTGAGATGTGTGTCTCTGGTGATGCTGGGGGTGAGATGTGTGTCTCTGGTGAT